TTCTACATACTATATAGTTGTTTGTTCTACATACTAAGTAGTTGTTCGTTCTACACACTATAAAGTTGTTCGTTCTACATACTATATCGTTGTTCGTTCTACATACTATAGAATTGTTCAGTCTACATACTATAGAGTTTTTCGTTCTACATACTGTAGAATTGTTCGTTCTACATACTATAGAGTTGTTTGTTCTACACATTATAAAGTTGTTCGTTCTATACACCATAGAGTTGTTCGTTCTACATACTATAGTGTTGTTCGATCTACACACTAAATAGTTGTTCGTTCTACATACTAAATAATTGTTCGTTCTACACACTATAGAATTGTTCAGTCTACATACTAGAAAATTTTTCGTTCTACATACTATCGAATTTGTTCGTTTTACATACTATATAGTTGTTTGTTCTACATACTAAGTAGTTGTTCGTTCTACACACTATAAAGTTGTTCGTTCTACAAACTTTATAGTTTTTCGTTCTACATACAAAGTCTGTTCCTGCGTATGATTGTCCTCCAGTCCTCATCTCTAATTGACGTAATACCCTCCCATGCGTGACATAATTTGTGGGTGATTGTCTGCCGGTCCTCATCTCTATTTGAAATAATACGCTGCCATGCATGACAACTGCTTCTCTTGGTTCTCTATTGATGTATGATGGGATATAACGAGGTACGGGTAGTCACTGAGAGTTGTTGATAGCTACGGAACTAACTGGGTTTTTACGCCAAGTCTATATAATGAAAAAAATTATACATAGCGAAGAAACCCAATATCTCCCGCAACAAGGAAACCAACTTACGTCCTCGACCCAGAAAATAAAGAGTCCCTTCGGGTGACATTTTCAGCATCCCGCGTCAAAGTATTTTTTTAACGAACGTGTACTTAAACTCATGATAGTTTTCAACGCAAGTTTGTCTTCTTTATACGCTGAATGGTGTCAAAAACGAGCTGAAAATAGTTTCATCTATTGAATTTCATCTTGTGATATCTGTGAAATAATTTAGCTGAATAAACTATCATGAATTCCTCGTCCTTGACAAACGTACGGTCAGACTCTCGAGAGGTCTTGCTGTGCAAGGAAACTGCGGTACTGTACCAAGCATAGGTGGGTTTACCTAATGTTGTTTCGTTGTAGATAGAAGTTCATTGGACCGTAAAGATATTTAGGCCAATCATATATTGGAGCTTGATCTGAAATATTCTTCCGGTAATCATTATAATGACCTGTTTAGTGTACGATAAAATAACACTACGTTCCAAGCTGAATCTTCATGTGATCGGCTTGTCCACAAGAAGTAGCAAACAAATCATTTTACATCAATCAACTGGCTAAGAACCAGGTGGTCAAGTTTGTTTAATACATACACAGATTACGGAATATCTTTGCTACCTAATGCCATATCACTCAATTACTTGGAACAAATTCATGGCAATACCAACGGACTCTGCATCTTGAGAATTTTCTATATTTGAAAATGATAATCTTTGAAATTACAAATTGACCATGGCATTTAAGAAGTATAATTTGGGATATCTGATATCAGATACTTAATCTTGCAGTGTGAAATTATAGTAGGTTTTTCGTTTGTTTGTTTGTTTTTTGTAATTATATCCGAACAAAAGTTTGCAATATTATCATTTTATTGAATATTTATTTACCTGTTTTTGTTGCCCAACATATTCTTGTATATAAAAGTATACTCAATAACTTGAATTAAAAAAAGCATATGTTACAATTGTCTAAGCCTTTGGGACAAAATTGCTTCAATTTTCGAAGAAGGGTCTTTAACATGTTTTACACCGCCTTTATCCAAACGGTCTTTTCGTCCAGTATAAAAGAGGTGATTATTCGTGAGACGGAACGATATGATGTTTCCAAACGTCATCCAAATACCAAGATTTTAATGATAGATGGCGACACGTGGCGGAATGTATCAGTATAACAGTGTTTCGATAGAATTATATAACTTGAGAATTTGTGGGGTTCTTGAAACAGGATAGGTTGACCTTCCGGAATACCTTGTCTTATTCTCCTTGCCCTTTTTAAACATTTCGTTTTTTCTATGGCGATATTTTCACGAACCTACTAAAGAATTATTGTATAATTAGACAGATGTTCGAAAACACGCCTGCGTAAGTACTTTATGTAAAACTATTGTTGTACTAGTTTTAAGTGTCACGTGTCTACGATTTCCAGTAGTGATGATTTGACAGACCACTACAGCTTATTTTAGATTATCGACCAAAGAAAGGATGAAGGTTGGATGTGCCCTACAACAGTGTCTTGGAGACCAAATTGTCTATTTATAGTGTCTGCAAACTGTGAGCGCGTTTAGCAAATCATAAATTCCAATTGAGCTCAATTACTGAATGGTGGCTGTAAAATATATTTAGATTCGTTTCAGGGATTGCTGACTATGTATATGTATTGTTATTCTTACCTGTTATATTTTGCATTGGTGATTTTGTATTATACTTAGTGGCAGTGAATTGTTTAACAAATCTTTTCCTTCAATACAGTTTGAGGTTGACAATAATAATAGTTAATTTCAAGTTTGTTGTTGGTAATTGCTGCGAAATGATGTTCTTTCTACAATCCACCAGTCTCCTGTGACGTCAGATCGATCAACAACCATTGACACGAACGATTTACGAAAATCCATGCCCTTTAACACAGAATATATTTCCTGTCTGGATGTCATCTTCTGAATGACATATTTCGAATGTATAATGATGAAATGTCGTATATTCTTCACAAATGTTTTCAGTTTATTGTTAAATCATTGTTTTTGTGGATTTGATGTTTTCGTTGAATCCGTGATTAATCTTTATTCAGAAACGTGTATTCAGGAGATGACAAAAAATGCCATGTTTTATAGTACCAGTGGATTTTGTGGCGAACAAAATCTAGTGCTAGAGAAAATGCATTATTTTGTAAAACCATGAGATTTGATCTTCTCGAAATTATATTTTTACAGTAATTGAATAAACTCTCAAGAATATGCTCTCGCGTACAGAAGACTTTCATAAGTGTTGATTCCTTGCAAATCCTTGCTCGTTTTTTTTTTATTATATTTCATATTAAGACATTACAGAAACAACTCAAATTCAATGAAACTATGGCAAATTGAAACAAATAAGTTGGTAAATGTACGATAAAATTTCATTTCATATTGATGTTAAGATCTATTTATTTATCATGAAATATCTGACATACAACTCCTTAATGATTTTAAAAATAGATATGCGTCAATTTACACAAGGCTGTCAATGAAACATTATCTGTGCTTAGAATAAATCATCGAAATTCTTATAGTTAAGATCGAAGTCCTGTACTCAATTTAAGCTCACATCATTTTTTTCTTTTAATCGCATTTTTTTTTTTTTTTTTCAATTTGGCGAGTTTATTAACGACACGGATTTGCTGTGAACCTGTTAAGCAGAAATCAATAAAAAATATCAATGTAGTCATAATATAAGGTTTCGTTCTTTTGTTTAGTGACAAGTCTATCTTTTAAGTCAGCTTCACGATCGTTTTTTCTTATCACACATACTTGGATGTTATGTAGAGCGATTCAGTCGCATTGGTTGGCCTCGAAAGTAAGACAAAGGACTATGGCTTCCTTAACTATATTATATGAAGATGATATTCACGAAAAACAGGAGTGATTTATTTTGTAATGCATGTAACAGCAAAATATCAGTCCGGGCAATCGAAAGAAAAACAAAGAGCTAACCAGAACGATTGACGCTCCCTTGCAATCCAAAATATACATGGATTCTGTAGCGAAACACATGTCAATAAACTGGGCGCTGTTCGAGTATGGTTTCTTTTATAAATGAGAAATAGATTAGATCTTCGAACAAAAATACCAGACTTTGCTCCTGAAGCATCAATTAAGCGTCGATGTGTCATCATTTAATACAATAATTTAAAAAGCAAGATCAAAACGCCGCATGCAAGTCAAAAATAAATCGCCGCTGGAAAAATCCCTCTTTCATTTAATATAAGTTACGTAGCCATAAAACATTATTACGTGTAGTGTAAATCAGTTGTAATGTAATCAAACATAGTTTGTAGATAGTGTATTACATCTGTTTGGTCAGTGACGGCGAAAAATTCACAACATTATTGTCACGTACTGTACAAATATAGAGGCATACAGGTTATTAAGATTGCTGAGTGCCACTAATGTTTTCAGCGTAAATTTCACGAACATTCGCTGTTGAGAAAGACAATCAACATCATCTATTTGAAAATATGCTACAGTTCTATTCTGTTACTAACGTTTTCGCCCATATACATTGATTCCCTACATACGGTATAGTTGCTTAATATTCGCAGGACAAATATTGTCCCCTTTTGGTGTTTGTTCGCAGAGACTTAATTTCACGCAACGCAACCTTTAGTAGTAAAAAGAAAGCTTGTCCATATATTGGCGTTTTTGCATGCCAGGATTCAGTGTACATTTTCTGGGGTTTTTTTCTGTAAAAATGGTTCTTTTTAAATTTCGCGAAACCATTAATGTAGACGAAATTAACTTCCCCGCGAATATTAACAACCAAACAGTATAATATATATATCAAGTCGATAAGTACATCTCTACTAATTATTGTAGACGTATTTGGAAATCAGGAAAAAGGAAAGCTTTCTCTCTAAGAGATTTTTTTCTGTCCTGTGAATTCAATATTGATGACTCAGAATTACACATTTCTGCTGTGCTGATCTCTTTTATGTTTACGGTTTGCCACTGGAAGAATACATCGAAGAAACTTTTGTTTTCAAAATCCTGATTTGTTTCCTTCACATTAAACTGTTTAGATTATGCTGCCAGGTAGGGCTACAATACATAAATAACTTTTTTCCCGCCAAAATCCGTAACTTCTGTTCTCGCAATGGATATGTAATAAACATCGCAGTCCTGACCAATCAGAGGGATTCTTCATGACACGGGAAACATCCTATGACGTCATCCCTCTGTTTGAGGGCGTGCTATACTTCCGGTTTTCCAAGTAGTTCCCCTGTAGTCACCACTCCGTCTCCTAACGGCAATGGAAATGAACATTATTCGATATTTACGCAATATCAACTAAAATAATGAAAGCGACTGTGGACGAGTTTTTCATATATAAATGCTATACAACGTTAATGGCGTTACTTCATGTGTTCGCCATATAGAGTCAAATTATTCTTCCAAATCATGATATTCTTTTGTGTAACACATTATTGTTTAATGTCACTGATTTAGCAAGGAGACCGATTTCACCGCTAATGCAATATTTAATGGAAGAACTGTATCATTTAATTGAACAAAAATGTTATGATGAATATTTAGATAAATATAAATTCGTATGTATATCATGTAAACAAAAAGATATTTCCTTGAAGACCTTTAAGCCATAATGAACGGGTGTTCACTTATGTGTATAGAAATATGAATACCTCTGGAGAGCATTATATTGTGGAGAGACCAAACTAGCATAAACGTATTGTATTTGTGAGGATTTAAGTCTATCATGATTACTAGGACAATAGTATCTAGGAAAGCCGAAAGTAACACTTTAAATGTTTGTGTTGGTGTATGAAATTCGGTTAATTGGGCATTCGGTTGTTTAACCATTAACCATTCTTCTAGTACAGAAATATCTTTATGGACATACCGTTTGTGTCAACGAACTTTCGAATCAAGGCCTCTGCAATTTCTGGATGTTCTGTTAATTGTTCGGCTAACTCTTCCACACGCATCAAAACCCTGAAAGATAATTAAAAAGAGAGGCATTTGTATTCGTCATAATGATTAGTCAACAATTATGATTTGAAAGCGACACGAAACGGCAGCTTCAATAATAAAGGCGAAAAACAAAAAAGGAACCATATACAAACACACACTAAATGTGTTAATCTCAGCTGTTACAATTACAGGATACTTTAAAGGTTGTTCATTTGGAGAGTTTATATCTTCGCTTATGTCAATGAAACAATGGATCAGAAAATATTTTCTCAAAAAATATAATCAATGTAGAAAGAAACAGTCTTCTCCATCCATGACTTCTGTCAACAAGTCCTTTTCTTTTAAGGTTTTGGATAAACCACGAAAATACAGATTAAAAGCGTACACATCAGATGCATAGTACTTTTTGAAATCTTTTTGAAACTGTATTAATTTTAAAAATTCAGGATTATTGAAATGAAATTCAAAAACAGAGTTTAGCACCAATCACGTTCATAAGATAGTGTTTCATCAACAAGCATCGACAAACACTGCAATACCATGGCAGATACTTTTCAGATGATTTAAACTGGGTTGTTATAGAACGTGGCCGGTCACATGATTAGAATATAACATGATGAATGATAGTCCGATAGATATGTTTAGAACAGTACGGTTATATTTCATAGTGTCGTTGACAGAATTTGTAGCTTATCTGTTGATTATCTGAAATTTCGGCGTCGCTTCCATCAACGATAAATTCGATAAGTACAGACTGTTTAGAAATGTTGTGTTCAAAGAACACAAATGGAGGCTGTAAAAATATGTCTTCAAATTGCTAATCTTGATCTGCTATTATATTTCAAGTGATGAAGAAATTATTCGTTGACTAGATTCCTGTTATTGCTTAAGTTCATAAACTGGATAACTGCCTTTTGTACCTCAGTATATAATGCTGTGGTGTGGTGTTTAAAACAGGGATAAGTTCGCGATGGCATAAAACACACACTTGTTAACGGTTTGAACTTTCATGTGTAAAAATTATGATATACTTGCATTACTTTATCATTATCTAAAACGCAGGTTGACTTGTTCTCCCTGTTGTATCAATAATCTTACGGCATTTTCCAATTTCTTGTCAAATGAACTCGTGACTTAAAAACGCTGCTCGATATCGGTGTAAACATTTAGCACTATGATCCATACTTAAAACACCCTGTAAGTCATCTACGGAACACCTTTGTGGTTTCATAGCCCGCATGGGCAAAGACGAGGTAACACTGAATGCATTAGTGCGTGTTAAACTTTTATCTTTATATCTTAATATGCGCAAAAAGTACCTGGCACTATTGAAGAATCACTTAAGCCCGAGTAGCGAAATTCCTTTGAAGATTGACTAGTGTCATATTAAAAAGAACCCAGTGTCGTTTGTCTGCCTGGTTTTCTCATTTTTGCCTCATTTTGGGTGTAACATTTTGTGCTTCGCTGTCACTTTTCTGCTTAATCTAATGTTTCCTATCAGAGCTAATAGTTAACATTAAGACAAATAACCTTTCCCATTTTAAGTGAATCATGTTGTTATCTTCCTTGTATAAATTATTGTTAGTGAAAACCTGGTCTTTTAGCAATAGCTATCAAAACTGCTAATCATTATGCGGTTTCGTTTTTGCCATTGCGTTATGCTTTTGTCAGAATTAAAAAAAGTTTCTCACAATATCTTGTTGGGGGGGGGGGGGGGGGGGGGGGGGGGGGGGGGGGGGGGGGGGGGGGGGGGGGCTGTGGATGTCCTGAATAATATACTTTTCTTCTAATCTGTTTGTTTCTTTATAAAACAAACAATAATGGAAATACAAATATGTCCAAAGAATCGTAATTCAAACTGATTGTCGATGACACAAACCTAACAAAAATAGCTTTCCTAGAAAAATACAAGTAAAATACGGTCAAATGGTCCGGACAACAGCCATGTAAATCGTGGTCAGTTCGTGGACGTATTGTTTCCCAATAGAAACACAATAAACAAGGACGAAACCACGGTATTATTAACATAACATACTTTAACAAAACGTTTGTACACTTGTAATGGTTTTTAGTACAATACATTGACAGATTGTTTAAAAGACATACATGTGAAGACATCTTTTAAAAACAACTTTAGAATTAGATACAATAGAGGTGTATAATGAATTAAACAACATCTTACACTGTTTAATTCTTCTAGGACTCGTCAGTAAAACAAAGGGGTCTTTGAAGCCATGGAGACATATTCCAAAAACAATACCGCTGATATATTCACTTTGTACGATATTATCTATATGTGTGATCTAAAATCGTAGAGAAAGAAAAAAAGATAACTATAAGGGTAGGCATATATATGTTGATTAGTGGTTTTATTAGGTATGTGTAAAGGAAAACAAGAAAATACCAACATGTAGATATAGTCATAACCCAATCAAACGAGGATTTACACAAAGGTTCTGAAACAAATACAAGAAAAAAAAATAAGACAGCTTTGGTGCAGTGGCCGGATTCTTCAATTTCATGTTCCATTAGAAACAGCACTGCAATTGACACGTCGTGGTCTGCAGCAAGGTAATTGAATGAGATGGAAACGATAAGGAATGGACTATCAGTGATAGCCTAGGTTAGGCATGTACTAAACTAGAAGCGGCATTTGTAGTGAAAAGTACGGAAACAATTCATTTAATTTTGTATGATTAATTTAGTTTGTCTTTCAAGCAGATGCCTATCACTATAAATTGATTAATAAAGTTTACATTAAGATGTTACCGCGTGTTTGATTGACGGTTTGTAGGAGGTAATTGACATTGGTTCTGAATACTGGATAAACGAAACAATGTATGGTTCAGATTATGAAGGAAACACGATGTATTTGCATTACAACACATGCCACGAATAAAAAGTGTAAGATATTGTTTGGTTTGTAGTTGTAAGAGTTTCAAAATAAATGAGGTAAATGAACTTTATCACTCTGATAATTTTATTTATACCCCTGTTAAAAGTAGTTGTGATCGGTGAAAGCATTGTAATTTGCAAATTTTAATTTTTTCAATAATAATTCTACAATTTGATCTTGATTTATATGAAAAAATTGCTTGATAGGAATTTAGTGATAGACACAAATGTACAACATTTGCATAACAAAGAGCATGTTATTCCATTATTTCAACAAAAGTCAAAATTCACTGATTTTCAAAGCCATGAGAGATAATTGAAATTTATTTCACGTCTGTCAATATGAACTTATTTCAATGATGCTGGTTTCGCCCTTTTTTATTATGTATTTATAGTTTACCCTTTGCTGACAAAAATTTATTTCGTGATAAATGAAGAACGTGTTGGTGTCATTACACGCAAAACTAACATTCTGCATTAAACGGATTTGCAGTGCAAATTTGAATATCTGATCGGAACAAACTATCATTGACACATGTTGATATTATCACGAAGCTTAGTATTTCCGTAACGAAACGTGTGGTAACAGCACGTGAAACATTTGAACGGAGAAAAAACATTGCTTGGGAAAACAAACAGCGATTTTCTCAAAGTCGCACGTTGTCAGTGTAACCTGACCATGTCGGATATCTTCCTTTGAGCCTTCGATAGTATAGGTCAGTGTGGTAACACTATAAGTCCGGTTTACATACTATGAAAAGGAAGCTTACAAGGACATGAAAGTCTCTAAAACAAATATTTATGTTTACGCCACATTGACTGATATGATTTGTTGTTCTGTTGACTGATATGATTTGCTGTTTCGTGGCTGATATGATTTGCTGTTTGTTGACTGATATGGTTTGCTGTTTCGTGACAGATATGATTTGCTGTTTTGTTGACTGATATGATTTGTTGTTTCGTGACTGATATGATTTGCTGTTTCGTGACTGATATGATTTGCTGTTACGTGACTGATATGATTTGCTGTTTCGTGACTGATATGATTTGCCCGTTTCGTGACAGATATGATTTGCTGTTTCGTTGACTGATATGATTTGCTGTTTCGTGACTGATATGATTTGCTGTTTCGTGACTGATATGATTTGCTGTTTCGTGACTGATATGATTTGCTGTTTCGTGACTGATATGATTTGCCCGTTTCGTGACTGATATGATTTGCCCGTTTCGTGACTGATATGATTTGCTGTTGCGTGACTGATATGATTTGTTGTTTCGTGACTGATATGATTTGCCCGTTTCGTGACTGATATGATTTGCTGTTTCGTGACTGATATGATTTGCTGTTTCGTGACTGATATGATTGACTGATATGATTTGCTGTTTCGTGACTGATATGATTTGCTGTTTCGTGACTGATATGATTTGACTGATATGATTTGCTGTTTCGTGACTGATATGATTTGGCCGTTTTTTGACTGTTATGATATTCCCGTTGCTTGACTGTTATTATTTGTTGTTTCGTGACTGATATGATTTGCTGTTTCGTGACTGATATGATTTGCTGTTGCGTGACTGATATGATTTGCTGTTTCGTGACTGATATGATTTTCTGTTTCGTGACTGATATGATTTGCTGTTTCGTGACTGATATGATTTGTTGTTTTGTTGACTGATATGATTTGCTGTTTCGTGACTGATATGATTTGCTGTTTCGTGACTGATATGATTTGTTGTTTTGTTGACTGATATGATTTGTTGTTTCGTGACTGATATGATTTGTTGTTTGACTGATATGATTTTGCTGATATGATTTGTTGTTTCGTGACTGATATATGATTTGTGACTGATATGTTTGTTTGTGACTGATATGATTTGCTGTTTCGTGACTGATATGATTTGCCCGTTTCGTGACTGATATGATTTGCTGTTGCGTGACTGATATGATTTGTTGTTTCGTGACTGATATGATTTGCTGTTTTGTTGACTGATATGATTTGCTGTTTCGTGACTGATATGATTTGCTGTTTCGTGACTGATATGATTTGCTGTTTCGTGACTGATATGATTTGCTGTTTCGTGACTGATATGATTTGCTGTTTCGTGACTGATATGATTTGCTGTTT